CGAATTATGAAATAATTTTTTTTTGTGATATAAGCCCATTGAAGTTTACTGAGCAGATATTCCTTTAAATTGATTTTTAATTTTTCTCCTTCTATATTTTTCAACTCATTAGGTAAGGAGTTATAAAATTATTCCATTATGGAATATTGATTGTTTACCAAAATTTTACATCAAATTGAAAGGTATTTGAGTGATGATTCTATTTAAGAAATAAAAAAAATATTCCACTCGCCTATTCAAGAACAATTCGGTACCTGAGTATTCAGCAAAAAATATACAATGGGAATATGAAATTGATACAAGAAATGTTTTTTTTCTCACAACTATTTTATTAAACATTCATGGAAATCATTGGACGTCATTCTGATGTTTTTATATTAGACTTTTGACATTTATTGGATCAAATATACAGGGTGTCCCAGAATACTCCGGGAGGTGGTAGGCAAGTAGATTATTTTTTTTTCATTCCTTAAATAGATCATCACTCAAATACCTTTCAATTCCATATCCTTTTAGAATTTTCCGGTCGATTTTTAGGTGCTAAAATCATCAATAATGCAACGCTAATTTTCAAACGACCAGAAATTTACCGCCAGTGAAAACTGACGTCACGATGTCGTGAGTAGGGGAACAGTTGCCATGTTGCCATGTCTTGAAATACGATTAGGAACTTCAGAAATATTAGTTATTCAATAATTCATAAATTCTCTACCAAAATGTTTCCTCATGAATTGTGGCTTATTGCTTATAATGAATTTGTGTAAATAATAATTATATTAATTCACACTAGAGGACATTTGAATCGGTGAACGTGACAACCCCGCGCACGACTTGTGGGCGTGGTCTTGTCAGTTCTCAGCATTCAGCACAATGTTGCCAAGTCTCCAACATTCACATGATATTTTGTTATGGAGAATGATAAATATTTGGGCATGCTGGCTGCTCTAAACAATCAAAAATGAACTATAATATCATGAGTTCCTCATATTATGTTTAATTCAACGACATGACTCGAAACATCTTTTTGATAACTTGATTATAATTGGTGACTTGACAACCTTGCTTCATGAGTAAAAATGGAAGATTATCTGTCCAATAACGAAACAGCATACAAACTGACGGCACCATTAATGCGACGTATCGCCAAATAATTATGTTATGACGTTACGTTTGAAATGAGCTCTGACAATGACAATAGAATAAATTGATAGTTATCTTCCATTATCCTGATCAGGATTTTTTATTCGCCAATAAAATGGTGAATGCTGTTCCGCCACCAAATTTTCAAAATGTTCCTTCACCAAAATTTCAAGTTCACGTTTTTATTCGAGTTTCAATTCCTTCGAATAACTACTTTTCAGCGCTTTTTATATTTAGAGTCACGGCAGTGTCTTGCATCAATTACTCGTACACGTATTTATTTTTTCCTTTTACATGTTGACCTCTTTGGGAACAAAGTATGTGATATATATTATCTTTTGGTCTCTTGCCTGTACCTATGTTGTATGTTTATGTATTTTTTATCTATATTTTCATTTTCATATATTAACTGTTCTACCCAGGCTTTCTCAATAAGATAGTGTATCTTCGACAATAAATTATACTTTTGATTGATTGATCGATTGCATATTTACATTCAGGGAGACGGGTGATTTTGACACATTTTAAAATGTCGAATCAAATTGAAACTTCGCACATTTATACAGGGTGTTGCGAAATTCGACCGACAACGTTGGACAGGTGGTAGCGTTCGTGATTTCATAATCACTGAGATAGGGACATACGGTCTCCAAATGTTCAGTTCTCGATATACAGGGCGTTGAAGTTAAGAAATCAAAATAGTTTTTTCGCAATATCTCAAGAAAACCTGAATATAATGCATTCAAATTCGGTATATGGTTTCACATCTCAATGGTTCATTTTTTTACCAGGAAGACATTCCAAGAATTTCATCCAGAGTTGCACTACAGGGGGTTGTGATAACTTTTCCTTCCATATTTTCTACGCCACTGACGAAATTTTGATTATTCCCAATTTTTCGAATCGATTGTTCAATTATGTTGAAAAAATGTATCACCTTCAACTGAGCTAAAATGAACAGTTTTCGAGATATTTGACCCAAAATAGAAGTTTGCATAGTAATTTTTCATCTTCCTCAGTAGTAGAAAATTACAAAAATTTTTGTTTTCTCTTTATGCGTGGAATAACTATTTTTCTTCAGCTACAGGATGAGATCTGAATAGGATCTAATCTATTCAACATCGGAAATATATTTTTGCAATTTTCCAATACTGAAAATGATGAAATATTACTATGCATGTTCATTTCAGCTCAGTTGAAGGTGATGCATTTTTTAACAAAATTAACCAATGAATTCGAGGAATTGGAAATCATCGAAATTTAATCAGTGACGTAGAAAATATGGGAGGAAAAGTTACCACAACCCCCTGTAGGCCACCACTGGATAACATGTCCGAAATGGCTTTCTGTTCAAAAAATGACCCATTCAAAGATGAAACCACATACCGAATTTGAATGCATTGTATTCAATTATTCTTGAGATATTGCGAAACAACTATTTTTATTTCTCAACTTCAACGCCCTGTATCTCGAAAACTGAACACTTGGAGGCCGTATGTCCCTATCTCAGTGATTATGTCGGACGAATTTCGCAACACCCTGTATACATGGACCGATGACCGAAGTCAACTAAGCAGCATTGGCCCGCTCTCTTGCTCAGATGGTAGTTTTCCACACCCACGTATATACACTGTCCTACTTCTTCTCTGATGCTCACATCCACATCATCATCTCTTTCTGCGTGTTCTGTGTAGGCTTTGTTACTACCTCCATGCGCCACTTTAGGAGCAGCACTGTTATTTGGAACGCAACAGCGAATCGTGCAGGACTATTCCAAGCCGATGCTCCGAAACTTAACAATATACAGGGTGTTTCTGGAGTACGTGTAGAAAATTCAGGAGCATGTTGCTGACGTCAAAATAAGAAGAAAAGTTCGTATAAATATATGTCTGAAAGTTAATCGTTTCTGAGATACAAAGTGTCAGAGTTGAATTCTTATTTTTGTTTCCTGTTGATGAATTCCAAAATAATTGTGATATTTGAATGAAGTTCGGTATCTAGGGGTATTTTTCAATGACAATATCAAATTTTATGTTATTTTGTCTCTTTCGTGTGGGTGGCGCCACCTACATGTCTTTTGAGTCTTTTGAAAAGTCATAACTTCTTTGTGCGTACCTGTATCACGTTTTATAGTAGAAAAATAGATTTCTGGAACACTTTTGTGTGAAAAATATATTCCTGGTAAAGGTCGCTACAAGCAACTGTTTTCGAGTTATTGGGATTTGAAACATTCAATGCAAGTAATTTGGAATGACAAGAAGTTGGAATTCAAAATTGATTCATCAAGAAAGGAAAATTATTTTTTCTCAATTTCATTTTGGAATAGGAATCGGGTGTTATTACAATTCAATACTAATAATAATAACAGTAATTGAGACCACATTAATACTAGAACTGTTAGTTGGGGGAATTGATTGAAGTAATTGTTCAAAGTGGCCAAAAAGGTAGATACAAAAAAGTAAGAATCATCATTTTCCTACGACCACCTATGAAAACAGCACAAAACACATTGATTTGTTATTGAGAAAGTGACTCGTTTCACTATGACAACATAAACTGGGCGTCAATTGAAACGTTAATAGTGAAATTTGGCATCAAGTTACTTCAATCAATTCCCCCAACTAACAGTTCTAGTATTGATGTGGTCTCAATTACTGTTATTATTATTAGTATTGAATTGTAATAACACCCGATTCCTATTCCAAAATGAAATTGAGAAAAAATAATTTTCCTTTCTTGATGAATCAATTTTGAATTCCAACTTCTTGTCATTCCAAATTACTTGCATTGAATGTTTCAAATCCCAATAACTCGAAAACAGTTGCTTGTAGCGACCTTTACCAGGAATATATTTTTCACACAAAAGTGTTCTAGAAATCAATTTTTCTACTATAAAATGTGATACAGGTACGCACAAAAAAGTTATGACTTTTCAAAAGACTCAAAAGACATGTAGGTGGCGCCACTCCCACGACAGAGACAAACTAACATAACTTTTGATATTCTCATTAAAAAATACCCCTAGATACCAAACTTTATTCGAATATCACAATTATTTTGAAATTTATTAACAAAAAACAAAAATGACAATTCAACTTTGACTCTCTGTATCTCAGAAACGAATAACTTTCGGACATTGTGATGTACTGGTTCTGAATTATGTCTTGTTTATCAAGAATTGCAGAAAGCAGGACGAATTAAAGGGGTGTGGGTTTCAAATGGTGAAATCACTACTGACGAATGTAATTTTATATGTATAATCTAAAGAACACAGTCTATCTAACATCTATAGATAACTAAACTACCCCAAAGTCCCAAAATAATGTCTAGTAAATACTGAGTCAACACCACGTAAACACGAAGTATAACTGATGATTTCAGTAATGTATGATAGTGTACTTGGAGTATCCACTTACGACTCACTAACAGCTCTGGTGGTAAATAGTTATAATCGCCACATCAAACAGCAATACTCCATTCACTTGCGGAATTCTATCCTCAGGAACATTCGAATACCATCGCAGACGATGAATATATATCTGAATTGGCGAAACGTACCCAATTCAGCGATATGAATAATAGCGACAATCTCTGCCGTCATCTCGAAAGATCTCTTGACAGTTCTCCACTTTGACACCTCCCGCAATCGTGATGAAAGTTCAAAATCAATCAAAATCACTGTATACAGGGTCCGCTCACTACAACATATATTTATACGAACTTTTCTTTTTATTTTGACGTCAGCAACATGCTCCTGAATTTTCTACACGTACTTGAGAAACACCCTGTATAATTCGTAAATAATCGCCCTGGCCGATGATTTCGATGTCACCCGGTAAGTTATTGTTATTGTTGTCAAGGATGGCGGCCACTCTGTTCGTCCAGCCTCTGGATTTGGTCAAGAATCGTATGCAGCTGAGCGGCGTCGGCGGAAAACCCAAGGAATACAAGACATCTTTCCACGCCTTTCGAGGCATCGTGGCCAAGGAAGGCATGTTCGCCCTGTACAATGGCATCTCGGCCGGTCTGCTGAGACAGGCCACCTACACCACTGCCAGGTACTGATAATAGTTATTTACCTAACCGGTGCGGAGAGTACCTACCTGGTACTTTTCCGCAGGAGTTAGGTACAATGTTTTTTCTGCAACCGACACAAAAGTCGTCCATTTTGATACCAAAATTAGCTCTTAAATTGACGTTTCTATTACTGACACAAAAATAGGTATGTTGCTAGGCAACATATTTAGTTCCTAGGAGCTAAAGTTGAATTTTAGTTCCTAGGAACTAAAAACGATGTACTGGACGTCATCAAGAATAAACAACATTGTGACGGTTGGTTATTTGGGTTGAGACGCATACCTGATTTGTTTCCGATTTCGGCAGATTTGGCATTTCATACCCATGCTAGAGATATAAATACACCTTATTATAGTTGAGTATTGGAATTATAAACATCTCAGTTAAGTATTTTTGTTTTGATCAGGGAAACCTTCAAGATTCAAATACTTGCTTTTGAATAATCACGGCAAGCAATAGTTTTTTGTCTCAAACAACGATATTGTTTAGCTTCATCTGATTATCAAGTCAAACACAGTGAAGTATATGGAGAGGAATAAATAATCATTATTATCATTGTTGATATGCTCACTTTCCTAACATTTTCCACGTCTTGTTCCTAATAGCTGGCACTGGCGCGGTATTTGCCATTAGAGCATAGAGCACCTGGTCCATACACAAATATGTCACTCTGTGGTTGTATTTATATTGAAACTACAATTCGAACATGCTTGAAAACCTAACCTGCTGTTAATGCAGGTAGGATATTCTCACCACACGGATTATTTGTCAATTTTTGTTGCATTGCATACATATGGCACGGCATTGGTGGTTACTTCACATGTTTATTTGAGTTAATTGTTTCGGTTGCAGAAAAAATAGCATGTTTCATTCGGATCAAAAGTGACTTTGTTCGACTCGCAAATTCTGCTTTCGCTCGGCTTCGCTAAACGCTCCGCCTCGCAAATGCAAAATTCGCTTGTCAAACAAAGTGTCACTTTTGATCCTAATAAAACAATCTACTATTTTCTAAGAGCGTACGAAAAAAAAACTTTTTCTACTTCTGCTATGAAAAGTAGCGCATTTCTCATAGCTTACTGCCGTGAGAAATATTTTTTCTCGCGGCACTTTGCCAACACCACATACATTTCCATGGAGAATCAACAGAAATCGACCAAAACTTGGCTGATGTTCAGCTTTGAATAGTTGTCACAACTGTCAGAAGAAGTTTTTTAAATTCTTCAGGGTAGTTCTCATTAGTGCTTTCGATAGAATTCGCAGTTTCCATCAGATATTATTCCAACCATTCATAATAAATAATTTTGAAATACTTTGAAGAACTAGGAAAGGCGTCTACTCTTTGGCATAGTGCCACATTATAAAATTAATACCAAAAAGTAACATTACTTGGATTCTTTGGATAAGTGCAGTTGTAGAAAAGGTATAGTGTGCAACATATGGGGAAAAGTACTTTACTCACTCGTGTGTTTGCATCACTCGCCCTTCAGGGTCGTGCCACAAACTTTCACACTCGTGAGAAAAGGTGAACTTTCTCCACTTGTTGCACAATATACTATTCCCGCAACAGTCGCTATAAACTGACAGTAGTGGCAGTCAACAAATAAGCATTTCAAGCATAATTTTTCCGTGTATGTAATTCCAATCAAATTCAAATAAGAAACGTCGTTCTTCAAGATGTTGCGGCATCTGTTATATTACAGCATGCAACAAACACAAATTGCATTTTCAATTTCAATATTTACCATCGTTGATGTTTAAGTTATTGTTATTCGAATGTTCTTCAAATAAGTTTCCTATTATTTCGATGAAAAAAAATCTATTTGATTAGTTTTCAGTGCAAGAGAATATAGTGCGGAAAAGTTACTTCACCGCACTGGTGCTGAATGCTGCAATCATTCGATTAGGAAAGGATCCCGCACGATTAGTACGGAAATGGCTTCCGGCTAATTTTTCTGAAAATTTAATATATGTTTCAGATATTAGCGTCCTCATTACACAGTCCAATTTACAGATCGATCCTATGACCAGTTTTCGTGCTACAGGGTGTCAAACATTTGATTTTGACTGTTTAGAATATTTTGCATCGATTTGAATTATGTGCTCCAAGTCATGATAAATCTTTAGTAAAAATAAACGCTCCATGTCTAATCTTTACCTCATGAATCTCTCTCTCTCTCTCTTGTCATGTCTCTCTCTCTTGTCATGATGGAATGCAATACCCTGTATGTGATATCATGATCAATTCGAATAGAGGGATTCATGAGGTAGAAATTAGACGTGGAGCGTTCATTTTTACTGAAGATTTATCACGACTCGAAAAACTGACATTTGACATGTCAGTTTGTCTCGTGAAATTACTGATCGGTATAGTAATTTTCCTAACTCATGCGGAAAGACACCACTCGGTAAATTATAATAATCACTCACTAATAGGTAAACGAGGGTAATTGAAACACAGGATTAATAGCATCGACTACCCCGTCTCGGTGTCGTTCAACAACTGATTCACTGACCTGTATCTATCACAATCCAGTTGTTATACAACCTAAACCAGGTATCGTCTTATCTTTACTCTACATTCCAGTGGGTACACTACATTAGGAACAATATTTTTTCTACAAGCGTAGGAAATTGATTGATTTGTTCAATTAATTATTCATTCATATAGGAACAACTTAGGAGAGAAATATATTCTCTACCTACTGATTATTAGTAATTGCTATTGTGAACTTACAGTTTGACGCATTATGTATAGGTTCATTGCGGAAGCCAGCAGGCCCATACGGTGTTTGGTCTCCAGGTTTCAGACACTTCTAGGAATTGAGCCAAAAATACTTCTCCTTCATTCGGTATTTTCATGTCTTCATTGTTGCACCATTCAATAAAACGCGTGTATAGCTTCTCATACCTTTCTAAGGACTCCGTTGGCAATAACGCATCTGTATCGCATCCCTATAGCTGAAAGTTTTTGATCACATTGTGGCATTTCCACTGAATCGAAGATGACAGTAACGCTGTGTGTCTGTCACTTCGACAATTACGAACTCATTTGAGGTTTGATTGGCATGACAACAATAGGTCGCGTGCAAGAACTGTCAGATGACCGACCCTGGAGGCAAAACATATTTGTTTACAAGTGATGGAAATAGTTTTCCACAATTATTTTGGCATATGAATCGTATTTTTCCGCTATTCATCAATTCGCTAATGCCATCACATTGTGCTGTTGTAAAATGCACAAAAACTGCAGCGGAAGATGAAGAAATCCGGATGGTACATTATGATTCAAAAGTAAGTACCTACTATAGTCACTCACATAGTTTTCATTTTTGAAATTTGGTTATTTCTCTGATTTCTCATCGGAATTCCTTCTGCAATAGGATCAGCTAATAGAAATATACCTGAAATTTCTAGAATAATGCAAGAAGATTGGATTCATGCAATCAATCGGTAGGACTGGTCTGACATGCTGACGATCGTGTGTGTTGTAGACATTTTCAATCTATTAGCAGCATTAGCTTGTATTGCAGAAGTGGCAGAAGGCAGAAGGAATTTTAATAAGGAATGACAACATTTCATAATTCTAACTATGTGAGATTACTATTTACCTGAAAAATCATATTCCCTAGTCTCTTGCTGCATTTTTTGTGCATTGTACAACAGCACAATGCGAAGGCATGCTTATGAATTAATGAATAACGCAAGAAACACGATTCGTATGCCAAAATATTGTGAAAAACTATTTCAACCGTTTGATTCCTCTGTAACCAAATAAAAAAGTGAGGTTGTGTTTCAATAATTCACAGAAGAATGAGGTTGTGTTTCAATATTTTGCCTCCAGGGTCGGTCTTCGTGCACGCGACCTATAATCGTTTCTCATCAGATCAATCGAAATCTATAGGGGGATTTCTATAATAATCAACTTTAATTTTTCAATATTTCTTAATTTTTACAATAAATAGTGCAATTTGTAGGATGATTCTGAACATAGATACTTAATACTGCAACAAACAAACTCAAACTCTCATATTTCATCACCTACCACATATTTTGCCATATTATCATATTTTTGTTTTTCCCGCAATGTTGCCAAGAAAAATTTATCCGATAAAAAAGGTGTTCTTCTGTTGATAAATCAACATACAAGTATAAACAACAATAATAATTTAACATTATCGATGATTTCGTGTTTCTCGTAGTATTCGGAATAGTTTTCTTTATATTTTTTGTGGTTTCTTCTGACGAAATTTTCCTAAAACGGTTCATCTTGCTAATGTATGCGTGAGCAATACCCAACAATCAAACTTGACACGACAGAAATTAGAGTGACATCAGGCAAATACCTACTAGATGAAGTATAGTTTTGAGGAACAGGCAGGTTTACTGGGCATCTTTTTTTATCGATTTCATAATGACTCACGTCATCGTCAAATAGCGTTTTCTGTGAAAGAGTTGATTTATAGTAACAAAGCAATGTACTTATATATCATTAATAATACACTCAGTTTAAAAAAAAATGACGCACTTGATATTTGACCTATCTCAAAAAAAAAAGTAGGCCGATTTTTATTTTTTTTTATTTGTTGGTAGGCAATGCATTTTTGTCTTTGAAAAAAATAAAGAGGTGAAAGTTCTTTCAAAGCCTCCTTGATGGTGGTGGAATAACTGGAACCATGATTTATTCTTAATTTTTGACTCACCCTGTGTGTTAATTGAGTAATGGTATACAAAGTGCTTACACCCTATACGAAAGAGGCTTCTTTTGCGAGCATTTTGTTTTTTATTCATTGACTTATCTCTAAAATTTTCCGAATTTTTCACCTTTTTTGGAACTGTGTGTAGAAGATACATCTGTACATCTGCAAAAAATCATTGCATAGTTTACGTATTTTTATTATTATTATTATTATTATTATTATTATTATTATTAGGCTGGGTATGTATACGTGGATGTTTGAACAAATGAGATCTCCTGATGGTAAACCTCCTAGTTTTGGTTTCAAAGCTGGAATAGGGATGTTATCCGGAATATGCGGTGCATTTGTCGGTGAGTTTAAAATTTTTCCTATTTTTTTAGCTACCCTTAAATAGTCTAAATTAATACGTTTCATTGAAAATTTATTGGCTGGATTCGATTGTTTATACTTCAAATTCCTTTCAAAATGTTTTCGATTGCCCTGTATTCACTGTATCAAATACGTATAAAGTAGGGTCCCTTGATGTAAATTGCCGTATTTGTCATCTTAACAGGGTACGGACAGATCTTCGTTTCCTCTCACTCTAAAGTGTTTGTGAAGCAGTTATATAGTTCTATCCTCATTCAATTCTGGGGATAAACATTAGATTTTTGACATTTGTTGATTTTTAGGTTATATTGAGGACATTGGCGTAACATACGTAATTTCCACATGTAATTCATCATTCAACTCTACATATTATATCCAAATGATGATGATAATTTTCGAGTTTTTGATTTTTCAACTCCAGCATAATCTTTGTGAGGTAGTGAGTAAATTTTTCTGAAAGTTTAATACATTTTCCCAAATAAGACTGTTCTTAGGCAGTACCTATCAATAAATGAATTTTGATTTCAGACTATGCCTTATGGTTGAGAAATGATGAAAAATTTTATGTAAGTATTCAAACTAATGGGCTCATATGTCATGTGTGCTGTATATATTCATGTTGGGAATTATTTTTGCAGTTTTTTACGAACACTTGATATTTCCTGAATGTAGGTATAATTTTTTAAATGTCAGGGCACATGCATCTTCTTTTAATCCTCAGTTTTAATCAAAACTCTTCTACTAAAATGCATTCAAAAACTTTTGGAGTGGATAATTATGGGCACAATGAGAAAGTATGATATGTGATTTCGTATTAGTTTTACCTCGAATACTTTGCTGATGTTTTTACCAATTTTTCCCATTCGTTCACTTTACTTTCCATATTCTATGTTTATTTGCATTTGATGGAAATCTGACAAATTCAAATTTGCCATCCAACTGATTGATTCAGCCTAACGCAGCACATTTTACCATCCTTCCAAAACAGAATTGAATAATGTCGAATTAAGATCAAGTATGAAATTGAAATTTTGTAAGTTCTCTTTTAACGCCTATGAATGTGACGTGACAGCAATGTCATGTCAGGGACGCCAATACACGAAACCAAAGTCACTAAATGATTAAAAGAGAAAGGAGCTATGATCTGTCCGTACCCTGTTAGATGAAAAATACGTCAGTTTGCATCAAGGGACCCTAGTATAAAGCAACGTGGAATTTTTCGAATCTTTTCAAGGCACCCCGGCAGAAGTGGCGCTCATAAGAATGACAGCTGACGGCCGACTACCAGCCAACGAGCGACGAAACTACAGCAACGTGTTTAATGCCTTGGTGAGGATCTATCGTGAGGAGGGGCTATTAACATTATGGAGGTGAATAAATAATATAAATAATGCAAATAACAGTGACTATTCAATATGTTGATATATGAAGAATTATTGTGTAGTTCCTGTCTTCCCACCTCCTTTGGATTCCTCCTTTCTTTGGATTCCTTCCTTCTTTGGTTTCCTTACTTTAGTTTTCTTTCATCTTTGGTTTCTTTACATCATTCGATTCCTCACTTCTATGGTTTCCTTAACTTTTCTAGATTATTCCTTCCTCCTTTGGATCACTTCCTTCTTTGGACTCCTTCCTTTGAGAAATTAATTTCCTGTTGAAAAGGATCATATCGACGGTTTCAATTCAAGTTACATTTTTCCTGAATGGTGAGACTTTGCCGAAACGGCTGTGAATGATTGGAATTCACTAAAATATACAGAGATGTGCACGAAAAACGACCAGGACTGTAACTTTTGAATAATTCGGGATAGGGTTTTGAAAATTGGTGGACAGCTAGTATACCAAATTGCTCATTAATTGAAGAAACAGTGTTTGTTATATCACTTCCGGCTTTACTGGAAACGACTCCAACTTTTGACTTTTAAATGGGAAACCCTGTATTGTATTCCATAATCGGCTAGGGATTGTCAAAACGAATTCATCGATACCGGGGTTATTTCAAACGATTACGCAGATATTCGAGTTCTAAATTTCCATATGCTCAATGAGTGTGACAGAGAAAGAAGTTTTGATATACAATAAATAACGTCAATATCTTCTTTTTGAGAGAAGGTAAAAGTGTTTCAAGGCAGCATAGAATTTTTTAATTTCCAATAACAATAATTCAGAACCTATAGAGCATCTTTGGGGTGACCTCTAGAGGCTCATTCGCCTTCGCCCAGCCTTCTCAGAGACTCTTCAAGAGCTACGATTCGCCCTTCAAGGAGAATTTCAGGCAATTCTTCAAGACTACTTGTGAAATTTGATCAATTTGATGCCACGGCGGTTGAATGCTGTAATTCAATATCGAGGAGAGCATACTCGTTATTGACTACATGTCTGCTTCTTGAATGCTGAGAAAGTGAGGTAGAATATATGATACTCGAAGCTGTTAATCAATAAGATCTGTAAGTTCTGATTATTGGTAGAAAACGTTGAAAAACGCCATGCCTCCTTAAAACACTCGTATCTTCTCTTAAAAATAAGATATTGACGTGAGTCGAAAACTTTTGTGTTAAGAAGGGATCACACTTCAATCCGAAGCATAATGAAGCCATGTTCAATCACGCAATTTCGCCACAGGGTGTTGAGAAGTATAGGGTCGAAGTAACTTTGTTTTTTTTCCTGTATAACGATCAAGTCATCAGCTATCAGCTTTTCAGGAAAACTAATATTCAGACTAACATTCCGGAACATAAATCTACGATTTGATCGAAATTTTACAAAAATCGGACAAGGATTGAAAAAGTTACAGGCTGAACAATTTGGGCAGATTTTTTGGTGGCCGGTGAATGTATTTTAGGTATTTCCTGAGTAGTTTTTTTATGTTGGTAGGGGTGCCGTACCAACCATGGGTCGAGCCATGGTGGTGAACGCTGCCCAATTGGCCAGCTATTCGCAAGCCAAACAGCTGATCGTCGAGAACTTCAAAGTGAATGATGGAATTTTCTTGCATTTCGTTTCCTCCATGATTTCCGGTCTGATAACGACTGCCGCTTCGATGCCGGTCGACATCGCTAAAACGAGGTGAGTTTTCCACATTTGATTGATTGTCTTTATCATATACAGGGTGACCCAGGGTTAAACCGCCAAACGTTAAGGATCAGTTTTTTAGGCAAAAATAAGACTTTTTCTGCCTGTAAGCATGTGTCCTAACTTGCTTCATTTCAGAGATATAGGGTGTCAAAGTTTTTAGAAAAAATCAGTTTGTCATTAATTACTCAAAAACCTTTGGGCTGATTTAGAAGATAGATAGAACTTGGCATGCTCAATTGAGGTGATGAGGGGCTCCTGTGTCCTGTTTACTTGAAATAAAACTATTATTTCCAGTAGCGTCCCAAAGGGTAATCTATCTAATATTAGGATAAATCGTTCTACGCCACTATTTCATTTGTATATGTTTATTTTTCAAATTATACTTTCAAAAATACAATTTTTTTGTCATCGATTTTTTTGTACCCATTGATTTTTCTGAAAAAATTCGATAGCTATTTTGTATAAAGCTGCGAGAAAATTACATTTAACGGAAAACGTGGCGTACAATGATTTATCCTAATATTAGATAGATTACCCTCTGGGACGTTACTGGAACTAATAATTTCATTCTAAGTAAACAGTTAACAGGAGCTGCTTATGACCTCAAATGGGCATGCCAAGTTTGATCAAAATCAGCCCAAAGGTTTTTGAGTAATTAATGAAAAACTGATTTTTTCTAAAAACTTTGACACCCTATATATCTCTAAAATGAAGCAAATTAGGACACATGCTTATAGGAAGAAAAAGTCTTATTCTTGCCTAAAAAACTGATCCTAAACGTTTGGCGGTTTAACCCTGGGTCACCCTGTATGTACTATTTTGTATACAGGGTTACTGGTAATTCGATAAATTTCTATAGAGATGTGATAGGGAGGGTGGTAGGGAATAAATCAAACCCCAATATGCATTATGCAAAAGTTGATAGTTTTTGAGATATTTATTTTTTTTGTATTTCTCCAAAAGGCAGACTTCAAAGGTTTGAAAGTTAGTTTCCCGGAAATCAGCTCTACATTTTTTCAAACTTCCAACTAAACTACTCAACACTAATTTCGTCGCACACCAAAATGTCGCCCCTGTTATAATGTGAATAACTTTTTTCAGTTCAGAACAATTTGAATTTGGTTCACACTGTTCGATAGCCCAGTCCTTCAGCTATAATCTGGTACTTCATTGAAACATGAGGGTATTCACATAAAATCTCTACATGGTGTTTTCCGACACTGTGCAAAATTTCGGAATATTCAAAAGGCTCTCAAATGGTGAAAAAAATTTTTTTCTCAACTTCGACAACAGAGGCATGAAGATGATTTCATTACCTCGAGATATTTCGCGAATCAACTTCCTATCTCTCTTATTTACAGAGTGATCTCAAAAAATCAACTTTTTGGATTTGCAGCCATAACTTTTTTCCACGTCAACCGATTGTGGAAATCTTAGGCTCATTTTGAAGATAAAACTTCAGATGAAGAGATCTGAATATCAGAATTGACTCAAGATGGCTATCAAAGATCTAGAGTTTTCTTGAAAGTGACCCAAATCTGGAACGCCCTCCGAATCTCGGTTCGTGAGAAAACACAATTGAAACATGTTCTTGCAAAAACATGGGACCATTTCTCCTCTGTAATGCATGGCCCGTAACTAACGTTACAAGAATCACACAGTAAGTGACTGACAAGTCAGGTTAGACGTCGTTTTCGAATCATAAACAGATTTTGATAGTTTCGATGCCGCATCTAACGCCCGACCAGTTGGAAATGATTCCACAAATGAGGGAACAAGGGTTATCTTCCCTCCAAATCGCGGATCTGCTAAACACGACAGTCTGATCAATTCAAAGGGCTTATCTCCGACACGAATTGTTTGGTTATTATACTGTCGATTCGTTCGGCGCATTATTGCGACTGAAAACTTTACGTAATTGGCAAACTGTTTTCGTGAACCTTTCACTATTTTCGAAATGCGTTTTTACAATAAATAAACGTTGTTTGCTTGAATACTTCTCCATATTCTTGAATCGCATGTTATGTACGTGACAACTGTAAAAAAAATCACTTTATTGAAAAAATCAAACTCGTTGCTCTTGTTGGTACACCATTTATGATGAGCCTCAGCTGGTCGGGTTTGTCAGTCACTCATTGTGATTCTTGTAACGTTGGTTACGGCGGGTCATGCATTACAGAGGAGAAATTATCTAATGTTTTTGCAAGAACATGTTTCAATTGTGTTTTCTCACGCACAATTTTTGACTACTGAGAGCGAGGAAAATATGGACGCATCCAGAATGGATTGTTTTTCCGAGAACAAGTTGATTTTCATTCAATTCTCCTCCCAACCGAGATTCGGAGAGCGTTTCAGATTTGGGTCACTTTCAAGAAAACTCTAGATCTTTGATAGCTATCTTGAGTCAATTCTGATATTCAGATCTCTTCATCTGAAGTTTTATCTCCAAAATGCGCCTAAGATTTCCAAAATCGTGGAAAAAAGTTATGGCTGCAAAACCAAAAAGTTGATTTTTTGAGATCACTCTGTAAATAAGAGAGATAGGAAGTTGATTCGCGAAATATATCGAGGTAATGAGATCATCTTCATGCCTCTGTTGTCGAAGTTGAGAAAAAAAAATGTTTCACCATTTGAGAGCCTTTTGAATATTGCGAAATTTCGCACAGTGTCGGAAAACACCATGTAGAGATTTTATGATTGTGAATACCCTTATGTTTCAATGAAGTACGAGATTATAGCTGAAGGACTGGGCTATCGAACAGTGTGAACCAAATTCAAATTGTTCTAAACTGAAAAAAGTTATTCACATTATAACAGGGGCGACATTTTGGTGTGCGACGAAATTAGTGTTGAGTAGTTTAGAATACATGATCAATACTATGGTCTTATGTGTGGAATGACGTACTTCTGTTTGTGAATTGTGGATTTTCACCACATTCTAGGGGTTATTTTTGGAAAAATCTTTTAGCCACATTTGTCAGTCAGACCAAGTAAGCAAGGCAATAGTTGCCGCCTACGAAGGTAACTGCCCGGAAAAAACAAGACAACAAAGCAATAAAACAATCTGGTGGAACAAGCATCTCGAAACCCTACGAGGGGAGGTGCGAAGGCTATTCAACAAAGCAAAACTCGACCAGAATTGGACCACATATAAGGTTAAACTCACGCAGTACAACAAAGAGATTAGGAAATCGAAAAGGCAATCGTGGAAAAAGTTCTGTGAGGAGGTCACAGAAACCCCCACATGTTCAAGGATCCACAAAGTGCTAGCCAAAGAAGGTACTGTAAACCAAGTAGGTTTTCTGAAGAAGAATGACAATACCTACACAGCAACTTTTGAGGAGAGTCTGAAAATGCTCACTGAAGCACACTTTCCGGCCTCAGTAATTCTAAATGAGCCGATAGTGGCAGACAGCACCATTGGCAGGCCGAATAGGCCAACTGCCATAGAATGGAGGCTAGCTACAGAGATATCGAGGCCAAACAGAATTAGGTGGGCTATTAATAAATTTAAACCTTATAAATCCCCTGGAGTAGATGGAATATACCCCATCCTGCTTCAAAAGGGGCAGGAAATACTAATTCCACATTTGTGTCGTATATTCAAGGCTTGTATAGCAATACGATATATACCCATAGTATGGCAGAAGGTGACAGTCATCTACCTTCCCAAAGTGGGAAAGGTGGGTGACAAAACGCCAAAATCATACCGCCCAATAAGTCTAATGTCGTTCCTGCTCAAAACGCTGGAAAGACTGATAGACAGATACATAAGAGACGAGGTATTACAAAGAAACCCGCTCAACGAACGCCAATATGCGTATCAGCCAGGCAAGTCAACTGACTTAGCACTGGATGATCTGAACAGGCTACTCGCAAAGTCGATAGAGGACAAAGAAATAGCTATAACAACATTCGTAGACATAGAAGGTGCTTTCAATAACGCATCAACAAATTCTATAATTAATGCCCTAGCAAGGAAAGGAGTACCGCTACCCCTGTGCCAGTGGATAAATGTCAATTTGAAAAATAGGGTTATCATATCCACAATTGGCGAGACAACTCTGACAGCTAGAGCAGATAGGGGATGCCCACAGGGAGGAGTATTATCGCCCCTACTATGGGCCATTCTAATGGACGAACTGATCAAAAGGCTAACATCCAAAGGGTATTATTGCTTAGGATATGCCGACGACCTGGCGGTTATCGCTAGAGGTAGATTCGCAAGTACGGTCTCGGAGCTCACACAAATCGCTCTAAACATAATTGACAATTGGTGTAAAGAGGAGGAACTCACCGTGAACCCTCATAAAACCACTATAGTGAATTTCACGAAAAAGAGAGTACTGGAAGGATTAAAGTCACCAGTACTCAACGGGGTAGAAATTCCGTTCGCCCTAGAGGCAAAATACTTAGGAGTCATCTTTGACCATAAGTTAACATGGAATCAACACCTACAAAAAATTGTTCAAAAAAGTACAGTAGCCTTCAATATGTGCAGACGAATGTGCGGGAAAAATTGGGGACTGCAACCAAAAATGACCACATGGCTCTATGCCAGCGTCATCAGGCCTATGATAGCATATGGGTCAGTAGTTTGGTGGCCAAAGACACAACAGGCTGGAGTGATTCGAAGGCTCAGTGCTATTCAAAGGCAAGCTTGCCTGAGTGCCACTGGTGCAATGAAAACCACTCCAACAGCCGCTTTAGAGGTCCTCTTGAACCTACCACCACTACAAATATATATTCAAGGCGAAGCCAGAGCAGTCGTGAGTAGATTGTCAAGGGGTCAAGCACCCATAAGCAACGCGCACGGTAAAGACTATAGAAAGCTATATGAAGAGTTGGAAAGCGACCCCATCATGGGAATGCCAACGGATGGCATAATTCCAAAATATAGCTTTGAAAAAACTTTTAAAATAAGTATAACGGACAGAGAGGCATGGAAGGAAGGACCTCCTATCAATGCAGACATTGCTGTCTATACGGAC